AGGGATAAATCTAACAGTTCGGCTGGTAGTGCTGAAGAAGGGGTGCATCTTAAGCAGTAGATAGGGGTCGTAACATCGAGCTTCAGCTGCACCTCCCTTTAATACTCCTAGTTAGTCTGTCAGAGTTGAAAATCTCATATATATAATGCTAAAAATATATCACTCTCAATTTCAATATGACATTTCAAAGAGTTTACGAACTTGTGATTGCTGAGATATAAAAGCGCTGTTTTTCTGCGATTTTTGTAGAGTCTTAGGTGCGCAGCTTAAGTACTATGAAAATACAATGCCTCGTAGAGATGTTTGGTAAGCAATTCGAGAACAGAAGACAGTTTTAAGACCCATTAACCAGGGATTGAAAAGGCTTCAACTCAAGACTAAACCCCTATGTCGGAAGACAACCTGGCGCAAGACAATAACAAACCCCATTACTCTTGGCACACTGCCTACCATCGCAGCAGTAATAGCCAAGGCATGGAGCAGTACAATAGTAGCAGACTAGTGGTACCTTAGATAAAACTTTGAGAGGAGGGATGCTTCCACGCGTACTAGATATACGTATCGGCTATCTCATCAGCATCCAACGCCCCTTTGGATGCAATAAGCTGCTCGGGAAAACTTTGGAAAGTATCTATCAATGTTCAGTGATATCCTTTACTTGCAAAAGACTAAGTAGCTGCTACTTGTGAGCGGTGTTCCAGAAGCTGTGTCGACCGGTCCCTAAAGCGAATGGGCGATATGGAATACAAAGCAAAGAGCGATAAGCTTGGCGTTCATGATAGCGGAATGATTACAAGTCAGAGATAGTTAAAATACTGATTGATGAATTCATGGTGCTACGTGAGTAGGCAGCTTGGGCAGCTTTATATATTCAAGGCCTTTACAAAATAGCACGCTTATAATCAAATAAGAAGTCCGGGACAAACTTTTACTGTAGTATCTGGCTCGCGCAGACAACCTTGAGGATTAGCAGCCGTAGCTGAACGCGACCCAATCTGCGTCATTTGTTTGTCTAGAGTCTCCCCTAGGTTCCAATATTCTTTAAGTACAATTGTGATGGATCAAGGTCCCGTACTCTGCATTGGCGTTATGCGAAGCTAAACTGACCTTCGTTCACCATGGCTGAATGCGCAATGTATCAGGCAGGCACTAGATGCAGTTATCGAAGAGAGAGGTATTTCACACAAAATCTTAGCATCTTTCATATGATTGAATGATCTGTGAGACTACTACCTTCGCCTTGGCTATGATATTGCACAAATTGGTTGTTGGTGTACATTCAGATGGTACGTCATGGAGAGGACAGTTGCTCCAAGATTGCCAATCTTCTCATTAACACACAATGGAACCAAAGGAGGAAGAGCATAGTCAGGTTATGTAAGAAATGTTGTCTCAACCGGATCAGGTGAACTATCGCCCGTAGGTGTGTGCGGGATGAAGCTGAACACGAGTTCTATGAGGTTTATTTAAGTGGCTTCCACACAAAGGATGACCAACGAAGTGAGAGTACGCCTGTTACCAAGTTTGCTTTATTCTTCCTTACATTACCCTTCAAACTAGCAGAATTTGCTGTTGAAATGATAATGGCGACCCCTTTCAAAAACCCGCACAACCAGATTTTTCACGCCTCCAAAAATGGTACACGACTGATAAAATCTATTACTCAACTTAGGTGACCTATTCTTATTTACCATGCTCGTGTAGCAGCAGGGAGGGGTGGCTTAGTGAATCACGAAGCCTACAGCTTCAATTAATAAGCTTAGCAGCTAGTCCGTGCCTCGCAGTCTAGGCTCATGCATAAGCTGAGTATTCTCATGAATGTAGAATAGAATGAAGACACCCGCGATGCTTACCACCATGCGCTAAATTCAATGTTGCTAATAGGTGATGTGTGTGAGGATCGAACGGCTGAAAATCGGTTTATAAGAGTACTCTAATTCTGACTTAGCAGCGAAGCCGGTCCGTTTTGACATGGTGTTCCTTCGACTTGCAGGAGCGTGCATGTGAGGTATGGCAATAAATGGCTACTTGCAATATCTTTCTGCAGTTGCCTTGTACTAAAAGCTCCGTCGAGAGATGCATCTGCTGACGCTCAATGCACATAGCTACTCCATGCAGAGGCGGTATCGTTCATGCAGGCCTTGGCTGAATATTTTCAAACATGGTACACTTGAGTAGCAATATGACGGCAGATTGGTCGCTCAAGCTAAAGTTACCAATAGATCTTAGCTCTGCAGTCCTGCATGCAACGTGCAGTTAGCCAAGATCTTTCTTGCGGTACACAGTACGTAAGCGGGTGAAGTAAAGTGCTGTAGCTCAGCGAGCAGAAGCACTGGCAGACGACTAGGCTAAGTAAGCTAGAAGAAGACGTATCTGTCGTACGTCGTGGCATGTGCTACCTCTCGGCCTTGCGGCTGCACTAAGGATGAGTGTGGATGCTGAATTGATTGGATACGCACGGTGCTTAGGGAGAAGAGGCTCTATCAACAAGGCGTACAGTGAAGATAGCGCTCAGTTCAACGCTACCTTGAACAGATGGATCGTTTCCTAGAGCTACTCCGCGTTGTTATTTATCTCACATATGGCCAGCTACATCGTGGGCAGAGCTACTCTCCGTAGGTTGGCGTAGCAGCGCGCTGCGAGACCGCAATCTCTACGTGCGCCATAGCAGGCGGCCAAGTCGCGCTTATCACTTGCTCCCACAAGGCACATTCGCAACAACACAGGCCCAAGGTAGCCGCGCAGCTCTTGCCCGAGGCAACAGACCAGCCAATGATGCTATGACTATGGCCTGTACGCGCGATACTCCTTAGTAGTCAAGGCAAGGTAGCTACTGCGTTGGCGAGCGACTATTTCTGGACCTGCGGGAGCGCGCCATAGGACACCAATCACTTCACCCGTACCATGAAAGCAGAGAACAGTCACGTATGCGTGGAAAATCACTTTTCCGCAGAACAAAACAAGGGACAAGTAGACAACCTGGAGCCGTTGCTACTGCTAGCGATGGTGAAGACGGCAGCTCTGACGAGGACGAGAATGAAGAGCATCTGGTAGAGCTACACAACAGCCGATCTACAGTGATTAGAGTGTTAGCGTACATAGCGCAGGCAGGTATTGTTTAGGGATCAGGTCCGCGATCGATTGAAGTGCGAACATTTAGTTCCGCGTGGAATCTGTTCCTTGAGCCCTCTCCTAAGTCGGACGATCTGGCAGCAATAGAGGCAGCATAGGTAGTAGAGTTACGGGGGAGAAAGTTGGAACAGGTACCGAAACGTTCAAGCCTCTCCAGCAACTGTTAATCTGTGTGAAGGATTCATGGCATGTACCCACCTTTTTCTCTGCTTACAGCGGATACTTTGACCACTGAAGCTTCTTCTTCAAATCAAATTGTAGCAACGCAGGCAAAGCAAGTAGCTCGATTTGGCAAGCTAATTGTATATGTGAGCGAGTCGGACTCCTTCTTCAGATGCTGGACCTATGGCACAGCTCTTCCCGTGAAGTCGCATTCCTCAGCATTTTAGCAATTGAACGAATCAAAACTATGAACGCCATGATTATCTCAAATTTCTTTGATCGTTGAAGGCGCTCTAGAGGTCCGAGCATCCCGTTAAGCTGAAAACAGAAGCCGATCTCTAAGCTTAGTTGCATTTACGCCAAACTCGTGGACTACGAAGTTAGGCATCGGCCTGGTCTTTAAGAGGCTGGATGATGGAACAACCGTCATGGCCAATTCTGGTGCGCACCGCCTGTCATGCTTGCACCCAGACCATCGTGGAGGAACTGATGACAACCTTTGATGTGACAAGAAGGTATTTGGGTCTACCAGGCATTGTAAAATTGCCTGAGCTCCGAAAGTCGCCTGCGCCTCGTGGGAAGACCCTTTCGAAAGCTAGTCAGCTATTCAAGGGCTATAAACACGGTGCGTTCTGTGATCAAGGACACTAACGTATCAGTAGATAAAACTGTAGTTAAATTTGTGGGTCGTATAATAATTTGGAATGGAGAGCGACATCGGCGTGGGCAAGGTAATATCAGTAAAGGCGCGGGTAGGGTCTATAGTGCAGGTATACCCGTTAGAGTACCTCCTAGGAGGCTCCCATAAGCATCCATTCGGATATTTGCAACAGGGAAGATAAAGGACGTCTCCCAGCTCTCGCCAGTTTCGGACATGAGCAGCTCCAGTATGATATCTGGAAAACCTCTTCACCTACCACGCTGCACACATGTTAATGTGCGCCCCAATTTTTTGAATAGTTGAGAGTTCCCCAAAGAATATGGTCCATGCAAGGCCTTTTCAGGTTTCCCATGTTTGGGTCGCATGGGCGACAACCACCTAGCAGCGATTCGTTGCTTCGACACGAATCGCGTTGATAGAGTCGATAGGGGCGAATAGGGAAGACATTGGCGACGTCACCGCTGTTCCTAAGCGAAGCAGCACATCCTTTTGCGAGCTCCTGCGTGACACAAGAGGCTTCGGTTGGGATATTGAAATGGAGCACTAACAGTATGGTCACGGGGAGTAGGGGAGCGCTCCACACTTGCCAACCTTGCGCTGCCATTTCTAGATACGTGCCCCGCCTACGAACCCTGTCTACACTGCGCGGTGCGACGCAACTTCTGAAGTATACACCTAATAGTAGCCTTGGTTTAAACAAAACTTTTGTAAGTGAAGAGGATGCCCCTCCATATGCAATCTCCTTACATACATGGCGGGATGGGCATGAGGCAATCTTAGACGACCTATCGACTGGTAAAGAAAAGGGCAAGGCTATCTACAGCAAGGCAATGTTCTACACGCGGAAAGCTTAGGGTAATGTTCTGGATTATTGTTAGACAGACACCTGCTATATCCCCAAGTCTAGCAGTGCTCAACTCCATGTTCTACTAGTACTCAAATGCCTAAAAGTGCTATCTCTAGCTCTCAAATGCTCTAATAGAAACAAAAGATAGCAGTAAATAGTTTTGGGGATAGCAGCCGGCCTGTAGGGGGATCTGATGATTTGTCCGTCAAGGTACTTCGAGTAGCGTCTCTATCTGATTACAGCATAATCGTGCAGCTTGCGTGGGTATCACAGTGGCATAAAGCGCACGCAGAAGACGAATCGTATTGTCAAGTCGGCATATTTGACATTTACTTACCGGTTGTCTACGGCACGAGTGCCTCACACTGCCCCGCTTCCTCCTAAGAGCACCGCATAACTTAGTAAACCTTTTGGGAGACCCAATGAGCATTCCAAGTGTGACGTTACCAGTCAGCTCACCGGTCAGCTGGGTTGTGAATGAAAAAAATATCTGCTTTAATCTACAGCAGCCGTCCATTTCCCTCATGCTACTACCTTCTTCTTAAAACGTCGAGAGACATTCCACAGAAATAACACCAATTGAGGCTTTTGTACCCGGGGAAACGATAGAAGACAGAAAGAAGAACGACTATCATATATCCTACGACACTCTGTGTACTTTCCTACTCTTTATAGTCAATTTTGCTATCTGAATTGAGAATATTTCGTCTCTACGAATAATCATTCTTGTCACAGATATCTCGGCACTGACAGCATAGATGGGGTAGCAAATGGAGACCTGTTCAACCACTAAAGATCCAGGGTGGATTGCGACGATGCAACGAGATAACCTTTCAGGCCATATAAGGAACACTCTTGCTATCGGTACTAGTTGTGCACGCAGCCATAGTAATATGTCCGGATCCCAATCCCTTACTACTGTATTATTTGACTATCTTCTGTGGTGTATTGCAGAGCATGGTATTAGGGAACATGTACCACCACCTGAGTAACGTCAAGAAGTATTGCCCTTAGGATTATCGTTGACAGGGCAAGACGTGGACGAGAGTTCGTCAAGCCAGCATCCAAACAATGTTGACGAACAACGTGTCACGCGAAAATTTCAAACACTACGTAGTTCTAAATTTACTTTGTTAGAAGGACACTAGTCTAGCAGCATTGCACGATCCGCTGTCATCGCTCACATTAGTTAGTACGGACTAGGATCACCAAAATATTGCAACTCCACATGGAACGAGCTGGAAATGCATATGGCAGTTTCATAGCTTTTGTCGCATGGCCATATTTTCGATAGTCGCATCATGTGGGACACGCGGGTTTGCCGCTTTGCTAGCCCCTGCCCGGTTTCTTAGCAGCAACTAGAGCTGCGATTTGGTAACAACACCGCAATTCAGAGCGTGCATGAGATCAAAGAATGTTCTCAAGCGGCTAAAGTAAACTAAATCTATGGTGTGTATAGTCTTATTGGTAGAAATTCCGGTGCGATTCAGTAGTAATACTGGAAGCTGGGATATCCATGAACGCCAAGGAAGACTAATCTTACACTACAGGTATTGGAATAATCATTAATTCAGATTTATCACAAAGCCAGGTCTTGGAGTATCACTCTCTGGTCCGTGACAGCTCTTATACGGGTAGCTACTCTGCCCAATATTTACTCGTTAGTAATACTGCTTATTGCCGAGCAGTCGCACAAAACAACATTATTAGAGTACAGTTTTGGGATAGCTGCATGGCATTATCTGCTGTGCACAATCTCTGAATATAAAAAGCGTCATTGATGCCTCCCACGGTCATTACATAGTGTTTGACAGAATACATCATCACCCTCCTTCTCTAAACCCATACACTCTTTAATCTAATTTTCTCTGTCCGTTCATTGTTCTCAACTACCACTATGCATCTTACCACGATTTTGACTACTATTGTAGCAGCTTCAGGTATCCTAGCAGCTCCCACGTCGCTCCAACTCGATGATCGCGCTGTAGTCAACCACGATTCCCTCAACCCAATCCGGACTCGCTTGCAACCAGGAGCAATTGGCCGGGCCATCGAAAGGTTCCAGCCTCTGCTCCACATCGCCCATGGTTGCCAGCCATACACTACCGTTGACGATAATGGTAACACTAGGTAAGCCTATGAGATAATATATCCAAGATTTCAAGAGCTCATATATCCTGATTCCAGTGGAGGTCTCCAGGACACTGGTAGTGTCGATGGTGGATGCCGCGATCCGAACAAGGGCCAAACCTATGCCCGAGCTGCATGGCACAGAGGCAAGTTTGCTATCATGTACGCATGGTACTGGCCCAAGGACCAACCTCTCGCTGGGAATCTTGCAGGCGGTCACCGCCACGATTGGGAAAACGTTGTCGTCTGGCTTGACAACCCGGAAAACGCCAACCCCCGAATTCTTGGTGCAGCGGCATCAGCTCATGGTAATTACCAGAGAAACACGAGTCCACCCCTTCAAGGCAACAATGTCAAAGTGGAATACTTTACTAGGTTCCCATTGAATCACGCTCTACAGTTTACGAATACGCCTGGCCGCACTTATTGGATTAGCGACTGGGATGCTATGCCCCAGGCTTCGCGCGCAGCTCTTACACCTGGTGGTCTTTTTGGATCTGCGAACGTGCCTTTCAGGCCCGATAGCTTTTTCAGTAACCTAGACAAAGTCTTTGTCTAAAGTCCAGTGCTATATAGGGGTTGATATGGACGTTTTCCTTAGCCTGAACTTGAACAGGGTAAGAGCACGTTAGAATAGGTGTGATCTGTAACCTTGCAATCATTTGAAAATTACGTCTTTTTGGAGGATCTTAGCAGATTATTATAACAGTTAATATTTCCTTGTTAAAATTTCATTATAAAGAGTTGAGGGAGATTAGTGAGATGATTCTGACTGTTTTGCGATATCTGCTGCTGTTGCGAGCACTGTGTCAAAGAGGATGCACGAGTACTCATTTTCTCCAGGGGAGGTACATATGTATTGGAGTTAAGAAAAGTAAGCTACTTGTAAGCAGCACCGTAGCAAAGTGAATAAAGGAGCATATCGGACTCCAATCAGGAGGGCGCATCTAGCACCAACGATGCAGTCTTCAACGCCAACTCTAACCGCCACTGGGTATACAAGCTTATTTATATTTGCTGCTGACGCGCCGTACCTGTTTTTATGATTTTTGACCCTGGAAAATATATGAAATCTATAATTTATTACGCTCGACTTCATGAAGATGCAGTGCTATTTGCGTGTACCATTTGTGAATATCGCCTCCGTAATGACTGTACTATCCCGGTACTAGAAGAGTCTATCTTCTCTAAATATTTCGAACCCGACCTCCAGACGACTGAGCGATAAGAAAAAGCTGTTTTTTCATACTATAAGCCATCTTATTCGTTTCTCGTGGAGTGAAGACTATACTCTACTCCTACAGCGTCTTCTGTGTTTAGTCAGGTACAATGATGCAACTTGCTGACCTCATTCCTGTTATCGGTTTGTTAGACCCAACATCTCCGTTCCTAGGGGGTTGACAACGTGCTGAGTGCAAAGTTTATACTTTTGTCGTAAGGCAGAGTGACTTTCAAATCATGAAGCGGTACGCGAGGCAGGCGACATTGCTCAAAGGGCTTTGCTAATCAATTCTTAGATCAGATTGAATAGCAGAACCCAGAAGAATACATCCTGGCTGAGTCTGGTAATACAGAATGCCGGGAATGTCGGTTCATACTGGAGGTCTTCTTCTGAACCCGTGCACTGCACGTCAAAGTGGTTCCAGCGCATCTGGCGGTATGCTTGATCTCGCTGCGTAGTTGAATAACACCTACAGGTCGCGGAACAAGCACTTTCACATCCGCTATGACAACTCCACAATCAGCATTAGTACTCATTCCTCCTGCTCCGATTACTAATTACGTGGATACGCTCTCCCTATTCGGAGAATTTAGCAAAGGGCGAATCTAAAGGACCCTTATAATGTACAGTCTAGCCATCTCTTCAGTATTGCAACGCGTAAGCGGTAATGAACACATATATTATCAACATAAACTTACCACTGGAAGCGATCGCGTCTTGAGCCATTTTGTATGCGCTACTTAATAATCTACCTGTCCTTATATACTCAGTATCCCGGCGAACAAGGAGAGGTTAGTCGCTAAGTCCAGCAAGTAGGATTGCCGCACTCTATAACCACCTTAGGGCTAAACGTTTTATATTGTGACGATATGAAAAATTGGTGAATCATCGGCACTTCCTTGGACCTATCGTAGCGAGGCTGCCGATACATTCATTAAATTTGGCAGTGTATCTTAGATGCTGAGCGTCGTCGCAATGGAGGAAGGGATTCGTACTACGACATATCATGCCTTGAATCTAGACGCGTGTTTGGAGAGTATTTTATTCAGAATACCTTTTAGACGCTCTATTATTCACTGCAGAACTCCAGAATTTTGGGAGAAAGATAAGGCGTTCCAAATGCGACAAACCTGCTCTATTTACGTTAACGTTCTGGAGGCAATCCGGAAATAAACCAACCTTCCCACCCCGCCGGATACAGTAACCGTGCGCGTGACGAGCCACTTCGCGTGACGAGCCACCCCAACAAGATCAGACGACAAAAAAGATGAGGTTATTAAGCCACGTACAAAAGCTATAATCGTGAGATTTTTTAGTGTATTAATATATAGACGCTACTAAAGCGTTTGCACTACTTATATCTCGCTGGCGTCTTGATTCGGC